GGAGGAACATGGATGGATGGATGGATGGAACATAGCCCTCAGTAAAACCCCAAATGATCACTTTTGAGTGATACTTTATCAGTTTTTGTACAGATTACACAAATGTGATATAACATTGTGCATTTGCTTCTCTACTGTTTGGACATAGCTAGTTTCAGTCTTTATCAGCTGCTGGCTCTGCCTTCATATTTAGTGAACAGACATCAGAGTGTTGTTGATCTTTTAGTCTGACTCTCAGAAAGCACAGAAGCATATTTCCCAAAATGTCAGTTTATTCCTTTAATGTGTAATGATTTCAGTAAAGTATGGAGGAACTGGTGCCTTGGCAAAGATGAAAAAACAATATCAAGAAAAACGTTAGCTGGTTTTAGTGATTTCCACTAACATTAAAAACACCTGAAACAGCATTTAGACAATGAAGTAAAACTATGTTTTTTTTAATATTCTACCTTTGGCTTTTTACATGCAAATCAGGATAAACAGGAAACAGAGTGTACCTCTAAACCTTAACACACACTCAAACAGGTCCACACCACAGGAAGTCACAATCTCCATGCTTTCCTTTGACTTTCTTGGTTGTTTTATTTTCATGCTTTATTTTCATGTTTACATGCTCTCAGTCTCTCCCTGTATAACCTTTTCATTCACTCTTTCTATGTGCATGTAGTATAAACTGTTAAATATTTCTGTGCTATCCAAAGCAGCTTCAAAGGGAAAACAATGAAAGCTTCCCGTGTTCGTAAACACTCTCTGTCTCCTACACACACACACACACACACACAGGTTATGACTTCATGAACAGAGCTTGTACAGAGAGCGGCAAATAAAAAGTGGCCACTCAGGTCTCAGGTTCAAATCTGAAACCTTTCTTCTTCCCTTGTTATCTCTCTCTCGCTAGACCAATTTAATTCTATTCTGCTGTAATTTAGTCTCATCAGGTGTTGTGTTTTGCATTTCCAAGGTGTGAAACAGGACTCTGCTTTTGTCAAACCACAGTAGGTGTAATAAAAATCTTCTGCTGTACAGTAACTCTACACTCAGCTCGAGTGGAAAAGTAAACATTTGACAAGTAGATCGGTGTTTCATGTATAGTTTTGTGTCCATTCACTGATCCCCCTAGACAGAAATATCAATGTGGTGTGTCATCCAGGCCAAGGAAAGCCATGATGTAATCCCAGGCCACAGTGTCAAGGTGTTTCTACGGACTAAACAGAACTGAAATACTCGTGTCCTGTCCCGTGCAGTGCAGTGTGTGTGTGGCAGTGCGTGTGTGTGTTTGACTGGCAGCCTGGCTGGCTGGTAAAGCTGGCACAGACAGCTCAGTGACCTCATCTTTGGCAGCTGTTAAATGTGCTCCCTTTTTTTCATTGCTGAATGGTTGAGAGAGAGGAAAACCTCCGCTTCTTCTCTTAAAGAAACATTGTGTAACAGGGAGCAGATAGCAATATTGCCATGGAGTAGGGGTGATGTCATGCTCCAAACATGACCCCTCCCTTTTTCCCTCTCCTCTGCTGAGCGTAGGAGAAAGGTGAGATGAGGTTTAATTTAGCTCTTACAGTCTGTTTAGTCAGATGATACACAGGAATGATAAAGTGTGAAGGTATCAAGCTGCAGACGGCAGCATTTATTGGAGCACATTATCCATCTTAGCTGCAGTTGCCTTCATGGTTGTGGATGATTGGGAGAATGGACTCAGGGAGATTTTGACTGAGAATAGTTATTTAGTGTCCACTTTAGTGAATTTGAGGCATGGTGCTCCATAGCGATAAGTAACTATGGGGCTCTATATCTGTGGATTGGTTATTTGAGCTTGTTTGACCTGAGGCGACCTGTAGGTTTGGAGCTTATCTGCCGTTACTGATTTAGCTGGTGTTGGAGGAGTCATATACACCCCGCCCACTATGAGACAGATGCTAAATGTTTATGTATAATCATAGATTATTCATATACTATATAAGGCTTAGTTTATCCTATATAAAGTCACACATTGTGTTCCTCTGTGGAATACGATCCAGACTACTTTTGGAAAGCATGTTCTAGGTTTTATCTTCTGATCTTCCATTATTGTCTGAAAGAGTAGTACTAAAATTCCTTATTATACAAACCATACTTTATCAAATACCAAAGAAGCCCTCATTTCAATGAGACAGTAGAATTTCTGCAATTCTTAGCAAACATATTTCACTTGTCATAAGTAATGGTCTAGGAATTATTTGCAATAGCCAGCTTGTTTTATGTGGTAATGGAAGCTTGAGCCTAAATGTCACAGCATGCACTGGGCAATCTGGGCAACCCTCAGCATTCTCTAGCCTTAGACTCTTGATTCAGATACCCTCCCACCCTCCACGTCCACCCATAATATTTGATTTGATTTGATTTGATTTGATTTATTCTTTCAAGCATGTAAACAGTTGATATGACAACACACATAATTTTACACATAATCCAATATCAATTTGCTTATACCTAGTACATGCTTGAATGGAGTAGGAAGAAGTCAGACTTATCCAGTCCTACCCCATGACATCATCTTACCATCATTGGTTTGCAAGCAGTAAATGATTCACTTCTACCCACACACATATTATACTAAAAAACCATCGTTTTATCCCACTTATGGAAATACAAAATCTTTTTTTGGTTGTACGTATAGCATGAATTTTATAATTTAACTGACCCCTTAAATTGTATCCCCCTTCCCTTTCATTAAATAGTTTTTGAATTCCACCAGGTAATAAATTGTTCCTGGCTTTATACATAAACACAGCAGTCTTATATCCCACTAAATCAAAAAATGTTAACATTTTAGACTGTATGAAAGCTCCATTGGTGTGATCCCTATACCCCATCTTATGCACAATTCTTATCGCTCTTTTTTGTAATATATATAATGGTTGAAGTGAGCTTTTGTATGTGTTTCCCCAGTTTTCAACGCCATACTCTAAGTATGGTAAAATCAATGAAGAATACAAAATGCGTAGTGCTTTCCCGTCCAAAATATATCTAACCCTTGCCAATATCGATATATTTTTTGCTATTTTGTTCTGAACATATCTGATATGAGATTTCCAGGAGAATTTGTCATCAACTATGACACCTAGAAATTTAATTTCATATACTCGTTCTATATTAGCTCCCCCACTTTTCAATTGAAGTTCATTATCTAGTCTACGATTCCCAAATACCATAAATTTAGTTTTATCCAAATTCAGAGATAGTATATTACTATCACACCATTTCTTTATCTTCTCAAGTTCCTGTGAAACCCATCCAGATAGTTGCTGTAGGTTTTCACCCGATGCCCATATGGTAGTGTCATCAGCAAACAAAACCATTTTCACTAAATCAGAAACCTTGCATATATCATTAATGTATATAGTATAAATAATTTAGGTCCCAAAACAGAACCCTGAGGCACTCCACGTACAATGTCCAGCTCACTCGAATGGTATTCACCCAACTTCACAAATTGATGCCTCTGTGTCAAATAACTTTTAATCCATTTCAGAACCATTCCTCTGATCCCATATTTTTCTAACTTATCCATTAATAACTCATGATTGATTGTGTCAAATGCTTTTTTTACATCAATAAATATTCCCATCGTGTATTTCCTCTCATCCATAGCACTTGTAATGTCCTCCATCAGGTCGGTAATGGCCAGAGATGTCGATCAGTTCGACCTAAAACCATATTGGCAATCAGAGAGGATTTTATATCTATCAATAAATGTGTCTAATCTGTTATTAAAGAGTTTTTCCAAGATATAGCTGTATGTTATTTATACAGATTACACAGAAATATCCGGACTGCTAACCTTCTCTTTACCATGGAAATCAAAAACAGATATTGTCGATTTCCAAAACTAATTTTATAGTCTGGTTCACGAGTCTCTTATATATCTCAAAGGGGAATTTGAATGATTTGAGCATTTCTCAAGCCTATAATAACCTCAAAAGGAACATTTAGTTTATGTGAGATGATATGAAAATATTCAAGTTATAATGAGACTGTCAGTTGTTGATGCTCCAGTTACAGCTGTGTTTATCTTTCTTGCAGAAATGACATGCATGACAAATGTTTTGCGGAGTAGTGAACTCCATATACCTAGACATCACCCAGAGAGCGCAAACCTCCACCAAGGCAGAACACTGTCCCCATAATGCCATAACAGCTAAAAGCAATATTCCCATGAAGGCTTGACCACCATGAAAACCTGCCCCTGGCATTTGGAATCAAACTGATATTATTAGTTTGAAAGTTATACAAGAAAGGTGATACAAATGACTTTTTTCAGGATGTAGCTCAATAACTTTTGAATATAACGTCAGATCTGTTGACTCTCGACTGAATCAGCGGAGTTCCAGCTATTATTTGATCTTAGTTGTGCATCTGTAGTATTATTTGTTGTGTCACAGTAGTGAGTTTTTGGTGAGCCCTACAAAAGTGAACAATCTGGATCAGAGATCTGGAATGTTACTTGGATCCAGATCATACTTTAGTGTGTGGTAGATCTTATGTGGATGTTACTGTGCAATTTTTGTCCAAGCATTGTAGGCGTTGTCTATGGAGTTAGAAGCAAAAATATTCAAATTGGCCCTTTAGTATCTCACAGTGGTGAAGAAGCCTTTAAAAGATTCTTGGATCTGGATGATGATCTGGATCAACACCAAAATCTAATGGATTTTCTCATGGGCTATACCATACCTCTCAAACAAATGTCATCAAAATTTATTTATTACTTTTTGTGTTATGTTGTGAACAAATAAACAAACACTAGTAAAAACATTACCTTCACCGTTCTGGTAGTTGAGCTACAGTATATTCAGATTCAGAAGTAGTTAAAAATATAACATTCCTTGCAGTTTTGGATTTATAAAAAGCCCAGATGGGATTGCTTGGTGTAGGACAGGTTTAGGTCTCATGGTTATTCCAGGACTGTCAGCTCACCTTGTGAAAACCATGTGGCTATAGTTAATATTTTGAATCAGACTTGGCAAAGCTAAATTTGAATATATCATATATTAAGAATTGATTATTGCTATTTATTTAAAAAATGTTCAGAGATGCATGGTGCATAGGGTTTCAGGTGTTACCTGGCTAACTGAGTAATCCTGCATAGTGAAACACCCCACCTGGACTGGAGTTTCTAGCAGGCAGGTGTCTGATGGAGCAGAGATGACATTCCCTGCACTTTCCCATGAATAATGAGGTATCTTTTTTATGCTGGCAGGCGACTCTTCTGTCTTACATTTTATCATTTCAAATTGATCAAACTGACAATGTACATGTACATTGTCAGTTTGATCATTTTGTACCTTTTTCAAGTATCTTTAGTTAACCAGTCTAGATTTCTCCAATTTCTCCCTATAGGGCAGCTTTGCTGTGGTTCACATTCTTTCAGTGTGAAGTAACTGGTAGCTTGCAAAGCTCTGCTTTCAAAGCTGAAAAAAACACTTGAAAAATCAACTGGACTAGGTTTTTAGGTCAAAGAAGTTTCACCTCTCATCCAAGAGGCTTCATCAGTTTTGTCCGACTGGCGTTGAGTCGGAGATATTTATCCCCATCGGTGGTGTTTCAGTCCTTTGATTTGGTCCTTTGGTTTTTTCAGCTTACTATGACCTGGATGACTGAGAATCTGCACGGACACTTTGCTTTCAAAGTAGCTTCCCCAGCACTGCATATTAATAATGTGGCAATATACTGTACATCAGTTGGAAACGACATAACAGCTGTCACTGCTTAGTGCTTTCTTTAACTTCAGATGCCTTGCACAGCACATAACATGCACACCAGTGTAGATGCATAGGTAATGCATAAATCTATCAATTAAGTACTTTTGATTTTTTATCATATTATCTCTGCTCAGAGATCCAAACAGACACTGGGTCATCATCTCCAGCAGCACCACCCAGGAATGGTCACCATCAACAACCCTGTTACATCCATGGGTCATATGATGGAGATGATGTCACAGCATTATCAGGCACCTCCACTACAGCATCACCACCACCACCCTCATCATCATCATCATCCTCATCATCCTCATCATCCACAGCCTCCAGCTCCACCCCTCACCTACCAACAGAGATGTTCTGCCCCTCCTCCACAGCACCTGGGACGCTCCCACAGCCACCAGCTTCACCAGTCAGGGAATGTACCGATCATTCAGGCTCACCACTCACCACCTTCACACCTACACCAGCACTCACCTCCTGCACCTCCCCTGACTGTTCCAGCACAGGTTTGATACTTTACATTTATTTATCAACTTAATGAGATTACAAGTGACATTTCATATTTGTGCATCTAGTTACTTTAAAAATGTTTGTTTTTTTGTGCAGTTATCACCAGTTGCACAGCAGATGCAGCCCTCCCAGCCTTCCCATTCCCAGCATGCAGTGCAGGCAGGAGGTAGCTGCAGTGGTGGGGCAGGAGGGGCAGGAGGCGGTGGCAGCCGTCGCAGGAGGGTGGCAGAGCAGGACCCCGATGAGCGCAGGCAGAAGTTTCTGGAACGTAACCGGGCTGCAGCCACTCGCTGCCGACAGAAGAGGAAACTGTGGGTATCATCGCTGGAGAAGAAAGCTGAAGAGCTGACACACACAAACCTGCAGCTACAGGTGGGACACGCTCTGCAGACAGACAGGTACACACAATCTTCTCTTCAAGCATATTTTAATATTTCCCTGTGTGTTTCCAGAATGAGGTGACATCACTGAGATCAGAGGTGGGTCAGCTGAAGCAGATTCTGCTCACCCACCAGGACTGTCCTGTCACCGCCCAGCAGAGAGAGGCACAGGGGTACACCAGTGAGTAAAACCCCATACCCCGTATCCCTCACTAGAAATATCACCAGCTTTTCCAGACGCCTGACACCAGTCATCTCCATCCACCACTGAGGGTATAATTCTGATCCATTGTACCTTATAATAAGGGATACCCTATGGTTACATGTTGTCTTGTTATGGCAATCAATCCCTTATCATACACTGGGACCTTAAACTGTATCTTACAGAGCACAGTTAAACCATGGTTAAGAGTTAAAACAGTTTTTTTTTAACCCTGCAGTCTCCAAATATTAGTACATGCACTTTTATTCCAGTTGGAGAGTCAGTCGGTGGGAAGCACTGCACTCCCAACTCTCTATTCAGATGAATTTATTTTTCATTTTCATACTAATTTAATGAACCACAGCTTGACCGTATTTGAAATACTTTAGTGCAATGTCATTCTTGCATTGGCTGCTGTGCCTTGCATGAATTTATCATGGAACAAAATGCAAACCGTGCCCATCTTGCACTCCAGTCAGGTTAACGTTCAACATTAAATGAACCTGTAACTGGTCTAAAATAACAGATACTAATAAAAAAATATACTGCACCTTGTGGCTTAAATGGGAAGCAGTTGTTGTGTTTGATGTGTTGAGCGCTTCAGAGAACAAAACAGGTGCGATACTGGCATGTGTTATATTCATATATTTTTATTGTTGCCTTTTTACCTGTATGTACAGTATTCATTTGTTAAAATAAAAGAGATATTTTCCTTTAACTTTAATGGACTTTCATTCTTTTGCTGCTCAAATCAAATGCTTACAAGGAGCCACTCAGAGAAAGGCTAATCACACAAGGATCACTGACTTTGATTGACAGCTATCTCTGTGTCCAGCTGCAGGGGTGAGTCCAGGAGGAAGTCCCACCCCTGTAGATCCCAGGTCTCATCAGCAGGCCATCCATCACAACAGCATCTCCACCTCCTCGACAGATGGAGGTGACACAGGGCAAAACCCCCAGCCTGGATGCTAGCTCTCACCACATAGAGGAAGGGGGTGGGACTGGATAACTGAATCCTGCCAGACTGACTTATAGTTCTGTGGTGATAACACTTAAGTCTCACTAGACAGTGGTTCTGGATACAAGAACTCACAAATACATGTAACCACAGGTATTTCTCCACATTATAATAATCTTTTATGACTGGAGAGGAGACCAGAGACACGTGTTTTATTTTTCTGTAACAGGTACAAAAAATTACCTTTTCTTTGTTAAAAGCTGTGATGGTTAAATGGCAATTGGATCCTGTTTTTAATCAGAAAGTGTTTGTTGCTGTTCACAGCTACTATATCTGACCATTGCCTGCTACCCGTTGACTATGCACGCACACTATCATAACACATTTCATTTTATCTTGCATTAATTTAAAAAAAGCAAATAGTTTATATTTTTAACTGAGCAGCTACAAGTGCACTCTGTATGCCTTCTTTTTGATGAGGGACAGCTTATCAAAACTATGTATTTTTATACAAATAATTAAGACAAAGTTTTTTTTAAGATTTCAAATCAAGGTGTCTGTGTTGGAAAGCCATTAAGACATAATTGTAGTGTTTCCTTTTAAGCACTTTTTATTTTAAACTGCCCTAAAACACTAAATAGCTTTAGCACCACCTCTCAGTCCCTGTCAGTTTAATTTTTAATTTACAATGAAGTTACTCTTTTTGTACTGTAAAGACATTGACAATCATTGTAAATCTAATGCTGCAATAAAAACACTTATTCTGGTATATTCTTGTGATTTTCTAAAATATATTTTATATATAAAATATTTTTGACACAGTAAGGCAGCTGTTGTGAGTAAGGAGATTGTTTGTGGTCTAGTCTGCCATCTAGTGATTGGCTTTGTTAGTGGTGGTTGACCACAAAAATGTTTGGCCAGTACTATTATTTCTCAATGTATAATATACAAAGAAGCAGCTAAAATAATCTTTTCCTCTTTGATTTGAAATATGTCTGAGTATATTTATGATGAGTAAAAGAAAGTGTCTCACAGTCAAGGCCTCTGTGTTTGCACACATTGCAAATAACCAGCTCTGTGGTACAGAATATTATCTTCAAGATGCCAAAACTGCTCTTTTGTGAAATCTTGACTCTGTGATTATATGAGAAAAACTTTGTTTCATGATGTTTGTGTACAAGCATGCTTGTGTGAGTGTGTATGTGAACTGGACTATGTGTGGGAGGTGCTCCACCCTGTCTACTCAAACAAAGGGACAGCTTAACTATTACCAGACCTCAGCTTGACACACATACAAAAACATACTGCATGATGCACATAAACATGCACACACACACTTATATGCTATTGCTCTTATCTTCCCTTATTTTAAAACACAAGAACGATAAGAGCTGTTAAAATTTATTTTCCCAGTCAACAGCATATTACTCAGAAAAAAGTACCAGAACACATGTATAGCACCACCCACACGCCACATGATGGTAATTCTAAACAGCCTGAACATTCCTGTAAATAGCAGTATCTGGCCTGCTCAGCTGAGGCATATAATGTCTACATCATAAAAATATATAAACACAACCTGGAGGTCAAAAGGATTATGGCAATTGTCTTATTTTTATATCGCCTATAAAAAAAATCTTCATGTATTCCCCCTATTTCTAGAAATATAAACTCCTTATACTTTACATAATCAACAGGTTATGTAAAAAATATCTGAAAACCACAGATACGGTTAACTATCTATAAACACTCATATGACAAATGAATCACATTGTTGGGGATTTTTACACCTTTGTGTAATTCAGAAAGATATGAATTTGCATATAAAAGTATTAAACATGATAGATATGATACATAACAAGTGTTCTTTCCTGCCAACCAGCAGCCATCATTATAGCCTGTACAATTATGAGACAGTATCATGTCTAGGAACTCAATATTAGCACCATAGTTGAAATCAGTGGTCCATCATTTATACATACATGCTTGCACTCACCATAATACACACATGTAAAAACATTTGCAGGTGCAAAGCAGGAAGAGGAAGTCAGAGAGAATAGACTTCCCCTGCTGTCTGATGAACTTAATTGTTCGCTTCTCACAGTTTTCAGTTTTCTTGTGATCAAATGAAAATCCAAAATACAAATTGTTCCATGGTTGTTGACTTGGTTTGTTTATAATGAGACTGCAGTGTATCAATAGATGTGACTTTGTATTTTCTGTATTCTAGGTGCTACACCAAAGTCCACAGCACAAATGAATTCACATATCATTCTGTTGTCAACATTTTTAGTTTGCACGATTCTAGTCTGAGAACCTCTGCATGTCATCATCTCTGTGAGCACTGCTGTTGTCTAGAAAGCGGTCACAAGGGAACTCAATGAGGTCCCCCTCCTCCAGTGGTGCAAGTCGTGCTGGGCGACTGCTCTGGTAGCAGGTGAAGTCAGTGGATACAGCTGCAGTCGCAATTGTGGGACGAAACTGTCGCCTGGTGGAGTACATGTGGCGCACGTGTATAGCCGACTTCCTCTTCTCCAACCTTTTCCTCACGTTCCGTCCCAGCCAGACCCCGCCAATGACCAGCAGCAGCATGGCGTTCCCAGCGAGCGTTGCCACAGTCACCAGCTGGAGGTCAGAGGTCAATGTGTTGCCATGGCTGAAGCCTTCAGGAAGAGTGACCAGTCCTGTGCAATGGTCACGAGGGGCGACTTGGCACACAGTTCCTCCAACTACTCCTTCCACGCAGACCATGTAGGTCACATCTGAGCGGAGTTCTCGAAGGGTTATGGAGCGAGCTGTGCCACGGGCATAAACATAGCGAGGAAAATGATCTGCAGTCCCAAATCGGTCAAACAGAATGCGGTAGTGAACTTCATTTAAACCTGGCCCAGGCCCTGGTGTGTAGCGGTGATAATCCCTTGTTTTCCAGTTTACAATGACAGTGCTAGATGTCACTTGATCCACAGACACATTAGTGATAAAATGGCCATTGAACATGCAAGGATCTGTGATAACAGGTAGGCCCTCCAACTGATTAGACCTCAGAAGATCAAACTTTTCTCCTGGCTGCACAGGAGAGGTTGTGGTGAGCACATTGTTTACCTCAGTGGGATTTCTGTGACTTGGTGTGGAAATGGATGGTGGGTCAGTTCTGGAAATAACATCTGACCTTTGTCTCCCTTTGGCACGTTTCCCAGCTGCCTCTACAGCAGGTCGTGACTGTGGACTGAGTGACTCCTTCTTTGGTTTCTTTCTTTCCAGTGTTGAAGAGAGTTCTGTCACCTCTGGACCTCCCTGGTTTTCTTGAATTTCCACCCCCTCTTGTCCCTCTCGCTTGCGTTTTTCTCCCCCTTTCCTCACTATCACCCCAACCCTGTTTTCCTGTCTTAAATCTACACCTCCTGCTCCTTCTACCTGACCTTCCCCGCCTCTCTCCTCCTGCTTTATTGTATCTGTTAACTCTTTTCCCTCCGCCTTAACCACTACACCTCCTCCACTTCTCTCCTCAGGCCCAGCTTGGCTCCTACAGAAGTGAGTCCAGTTCCCGAGAGGCTGCAGTTGGGAGCTGTTCACATAATCCAGATATGTCCCCCTTAGAGTTGCTGGGTGATGACACTGCACAAAAACAGTCAACAATTTGCCCTGAGAATGTGCAACAGTCATCCATTTCTTCAGCTCCTCCAGGCGACAGTCGCACGTCCAGTTATTGCCATTGAGATCCAGGTCATAAAGCATCTTGTTAAGGGCAAAGATGTCACCAGACAGACTAGTAAGAAAGTTGTTCCGCAGTTTCAGCACCTTTAGATGTTTAAGTTGCGAAAAAGCCAAAGAGTCTACGTTGGAAATCCGATTGCTACTAAAGTCGAGCTTCTCGATGCGCTCCAGAGGGTCGAGGAGACCAGCAGGGATTTCCTCCAGGTCGTTGCCGTCAATCAGAAGCTCTTTGAGGCTCGACAGCCCCTTCAAAGCAGCACTGTCTAGACGAGAAATTTTGTTGTTGCTTAGGGACAATTTGGACAGCTTTTTCAGGTTTTGGAAGACGTGATTTCCAATGTACTGAATTTCATTTTCGGACAGCAGCAAAGTTGTCAGAGCTTTGAGTTGGGAAAAAGTGAGGACATTGCGCACAGCTGATTGCTTATTATGGGCCAGGTTTAGAAAGCGTAGGCTGGTGAGTTTAGAGAAAGCGTTTCTGTGAATATGCTGTAGTTTGTTGGATTCCAGATGTAGATAATGTAGATTGGTTAAACTTTTAAAAACAGAATTCTGTAGAACTTTGATTGAGTTGCCATCCAGGCGCAATTTAACAAGATTATCCAAGTTGGCAAAGAGCTCCGGTGTAATTTTCTTAATGTCATTATTGTTTCCATAGAGTACAGTTAATTTATTCAGGGGCTGTAGAGTCCCCGTAAGTATATTAGATAAAAGATTGTGTCCCAAGTACAGCTCTTCTAGCTTGGACAATTTTTCAAATGCTTTGGGGTGAATCGCTTGTATCTGATTGTACTGTAAATTTAACCTTACAAGGTCGCTGTATCGTGTGAAATCGAAGGCAGAGATGTTACTGATAAAGTTACCCCCAAGGCTGAAGATCTGCACCTCCTCGGGCACCCGCGCAGCGGGTTTGGGCACAGTGCGCAACCCGCGGTTCGTACACATAAGGTGCTGCGGGTGCTGACAGTCACAGCGGTCGGGACAAAAACTTGTCGCCGGTGAGGAAGAGAGGAATCCGTTGAGTGACAGCAATAGAAAGCATACCCCTGCCTGGAAACTGCCGGTATCCATTCCAACAGCGCGGCTGGCACAGCAAGAAACTGATGCTGCATTCGTTTTGTGTTGTTCAGGTGCTGCTGCCCTTCCTCTCTCTCATGCTGGAGAATTCACTTGGTGTTCTGAAAAGTGGCAAGAGAAGGGCTGTACGAATCAAGCACACAGCCCCATCACATCATAGCCTTTAGAGCAAACTGATCGGTGCATCATGGTCTGATGCTGCCTGAGGAAACGCTCACCTCCATCCCCCCAAGTGGTCATCTGTGGCAAATTACAGAGTTCCGCATAGAAGCAGAGTTCAGGCCCAAAGCGTTCTCTCTCTCTCCCTCTCTCCCCTCTCTCTCTCTCTCACACACATATTGACACTAAAACAGTCCCTCCTCCTCCGCAGCTCTGCGATCCTGGTAGAACAGATGTGCTCAAGCCTTGAAGCATGAGCTCCAGAGTTTACGCGTGCACGCAGGTAATCAAACTCACACTGCCACACACAGGCATACAAAGTTAGAGAGGGCGGGAGACAAGGATTGAGAAACCCTTTGACCGAGTTTTTTGCGCGACCCACAGCCACCGGGGGTCTGAGATCTGAGATCTGGATCGGGTCCCTGGTATGGACAAAACAGACATGAAGATTTCCTTCCCACGGAATCCCATGAGAACCCCACAGTCTTGAATTCCCTTGTAGAAAAGTGTGTATACAGAGTCACACATACAAAAAGTTTAGCAAAACACTCAAGAAAACACGAATGATTCATATCGTCATAGGTTCTGAGACGTTATGAAAAGTATTCATAAAACATCTGTAGTAAACAATTGCATATTGTACTACCCAAAGCACAATCTGCCTGGTAGCCACTGCACAGCCTACACAGAGTGAGCGAGTAAAGCTACAATCAACACATCCCAGGTTTGTACGGTAGGAATACCCTCTACACGCTGCTTAACTCTAATTCTCACATTAATGCGACTTGTGTTCCCGGGGCCAAAAGGAGCACAGATGGTTCATATTTGCCAGCCAGGAATTCGGGTCCTGAAGTGTGTTAAGACTGACGAGGAGAGGTGCCAGATTTGAGTTAAAGATCTCCAGCTTAATAGTACGAAAACAAAGGAGTTGAGCATGTAAAGATTTTGTGCAGAATTGTGCAGCCAGATAAATGACTGGTAGCCTATATGAAGGTTTTCTGTTCGTCCTTTTCCAAAGGTATGTTTATGTTACTGCCAAAGTATCTGCACACTGATGACATGAGCTAATAGTGTGCTTTTCCAAAATCAGTGGATCCTTAGCTCTTCTGTCTGAAACCTCCACAGCCTTCAGTGACACCACCCATCCCATTTCCCAAATGTTTTAACAATAAACATTAATATTGTTACACAATTTATTGTTCCATGCAACTGAACCATCAGTAATCTGCATTCATACTACAGTAGCTACTTGTGGCAGAAGCTGGACATTTCAATTGTTTATATATAAATTTTTGCTTTTAACTAAATATTTAATCTGTTTATTCAGCTGTTTATTTGTTAACTAAATACTGTATTCATTTCTAATGATTTCAACTCCTGTGTTCACTTTCTAACTAGTTTTCACAGACTTTTAACAGGTAATATATGAACAGAAATATATCCAGTATCGTAAGAAGTAGCATAATTCACTCAAGCACACAAAGTCACACATATACACAAATACACACACACTTGCTTTCCAACCACCCTTTAGGTACAAGAGATGCAACAGTTTTCAGAGCTGAGCTAATGCATGACTGTTTCAGCTCTTTGCATTTGCAACACAGAGCAAAAAAACAAACACTCCCTGATTAGTCTTATTCTCATGCATATCCTTTAGTAGATATTATAGTCAAACATTACAGCTCTGTGTTTGAGTGAGTGTCTGGATATGAGAGACTGAAATACAACCCTTAGGAAAGCCCCCTTTCTCTTTCTCTGGGAGGTCATTTCCTGTCTGACTATGTCTCCCCATTTTATCACAGTTGCCTGGTCTGTGTCAGCTCTGAAAGGAATACACAAAAGATATCTATGGCTTTCACTGTATCATCATAAATAACATGAGCTTAAATGTAACTTATTAACATTTGGAGGAGGGTGAAGGAGTCATTCAGTGTACTAATGATATGGTCAGATAGAAGTTAAGATAAAATAAACTGAGGGATAGCCAGGGATCAGAGGAGGAGGAAAGGGAGTACAATATTCAACTGATGCTGTTGTGAGGGAAACAGTATTCTGGAGTTGACCCAGATTCAAGAAGACACTGGCAAAATAGCAGTGCCGAGAACCCTGTATGGAGCTGTCAACCACTGTGTCTGCCCATTTTTTATCACCCCTCTCTCTTCACAGCAGGCCTCCCACTCTGCAGTTAACCAGTCATATGACATTTCAGTCGCTCAGTGGAAAGAAAACATAGATGTGGGAACTAATTCCATCAGGGGAAGAGAAGGGGCTTCTATATGTCTGCAGTGAGCCCCTTTCATTGGACTGAGAGGTTTTTGTGTGTAGATGTGAAAAAATTTATCTGCATGAAATAAAGAATATCCAGATCAGTGCAGGTGAGTTTCTGTGTCCATACATGATCCGATGCTGCAGTGTGTGTAGGTCAGCCTGGAGGGTTACACTCCTCTTGCGCAGTCTTCAGGTGATGAACCAACTTCTTTATGAGTGAGAGAGAGACAGATGTTAGTGATGAGGATATAGAATCAGTTTTTTGCACAAGTTACACTAAGATAATCTATGCTTGTTTTAAATTCCATAAACTATTAGCAGAGGTGGAAAGTAAGAAAATTTTGTGACCTTTTATATTTTTACTTTTACTTTCTTAGTTCAAAAGAAGATATAAGAAAAAAAAAAAAGATCTAAAAGTACCCTCTGCCAAACAGCACTTCCAAACCTCACTAGTTAACACATTATCTCCAGGCTCCAGATCAGGCTATCTCTAGTCTTTCTGGCTGTAGCTACCATACAGAATTGAGACTAGTATTGATCTTCTCATTTAATCCTTGGTAAGAAAGTGAAAATGTCAAAATATGGATATTAGTACTTTTTCACAACTGGTCTGAGTTTAAACACTACTTAATCCAGACCTTCACTGGTACAGATCAATGTAATGGTTCCTCATCCTGCAGCAAAACTAAAGTTTGAATTGGAGGTCAGATTCTGTATCTTACCCTACAGTGACAAATAATACACACAAGACAGGATTTAGTACTAACACAGACTTGCACACTTTTACACACAAAGGACTTCAAAATCATCTTAACGCAATATGTGAAATTCCTAAAGTGATTCACGAACTAAAGTGATTGCACGGACTAAAGTAATTCACCAATCACAGCAGCAGAACTCAGTCTGGGGACTAATGAGTCTCCCACACTGTCATAAACTTGCAGGAAGTTGTGCTAGTGGAAACATGTGCAACCTATTGTATCTCAGAACACAGGCATCTTGGTGGTGCACATTTTCCCTGCAGGCCTCACATGCATCAGAGAGGCAAGCTGTATAGTATATGAGACATGTCCAGGTAACATAATACTGCTTGAAACTAACACATATTTAAGGCTTATCAGATGAATAGCAGCGTTGCTCCTCAGGTTTCACCAGTGGTGCTCTAAAATGAGGGCAACAATTCAAACAAATAACAGATGTGTTGGCCCATTTGTACATGTTTACTTTTGCATGTTTATGAGCATGTGTGTGTTTCTATGTGTGAACTATCATTTGATGCATTGTTTAGGTTGTTTAAAGAATCACTATGCATACAGCAAAAAGAAGGGATGGAAAGAGGGAATGAAGATGTGCGATTGTGTATGTCTTTGTGTATGTGTAAGGAAAATTTACATGAGCAACAGCTGCTGTGATCATTAAGTGCTTTAGCTACAGCTGAGAATCATAGATGAAGTCCATACGCTCATGCGCACTGACAGTGTGTGTGTGTGTGTGTGTGTGTGTGTGTTCCTGTTTGTGAGTGGATGAGTGAATGTGTTTATGCAATTAGAGGGAGATGATGGAAGAAAATCTGCTCACTCTGCGCAACATGTGTCTGCAACTTCACTGGCATGACACATTTATTACTGTATGTTATACACAAGATGGGGACACATTTTAGGTGCACATAAATGTATATACATGAGAGAAAAAGAGTGGAGAGAACATCTGGGCCCCTTGCCTGAAACCCTCCACCTTCCCAGTGGTCCCCTGTTCAGCTACTCCAGCTGGCTCCCATTCCAGGCAGGAGAGAAGATGGAGGTAAAGAGCAGAAGAGGCCAAGCCTAGTTGCAGCAATTAAAAGATACCTTTTACTAATCCCCTCTCTATATAAAAATATTAACAAGCTCATCAAAATCAGACCAAAAGAAAATGTCAAGAGCATGACCAAACAGCTAACTGTAGCAACACTAGCCCATCCTGCAATGTGAGAAATGCATTTGCACAGCATTCCTTTCTGCTCTGAGAGAGCTGCAGCCAGTCTTGCCTGACCTCCAGGGGTCACATTTTGTCAAGCAAGCTTTTTGGGAGGGGGGAGAGTGTAAGCAAGGAAAGGAAGGTTGGCAGGATTTTCAGGGTTTCAGTTGAGCCTGTCACAGTTAGGAATGGAAGGAATAGAGCAGGGGGAAAAGCAAAGGAGGAACGTGACATCTGGAAAACATTAGAAAGCATGCTATTGCCCTGTTGAAAGAGTGGAGAGACTGGAGGGAAAGATGGAGGAATAAGAAGGATAGTGTAAAGAACTGTGTGTGTATATACTGGCAATCCTTTGATCTATCAAGTTTGATAGAAACGGTCTGCAAGCACATAATCAGCCTCAATCACATAATGACAATGAGAGAAAGCAATGGCTTAAGATCTTAAACTCACTGAGCAGCACAGAAGATAACACTTATGCTCAGGAACTCAAACACCCTGAAAATTGTGATAGGTTGTGTGGGGTTTCATGAGCACACACAAATACATGAAAGCAAGCACAAAAATACATATGAACGCAGCATCACTCACACTCACTTGCAACATAATGCTAAACTAGTTGCAGCAAGTGTGCAAAAAATCTGGGTTTTATGAGTCACTAAAATAAAGTTGCCAGTAATTTAGTGTTCGACACATCTGATCTGCAGCTGTGGAGTCCCAGTCCACACATTGGTTTTGTTCAACATCGCCCTCTGCAGCCATGGAACGTTATAGCATATGGACAACAGAATCTGATCTTTGCTTCCCTCATCCTTCACAGTGGTCAGAATAAGGCTACATTATCAACTGAGCAAAGTAGTCAAGTGCCTCAGGGCCCCAGATGTGCATGGTCAAATCAAAACTGTTTATTGTCACATGCACATAAGGAAACATGTTTCCCTGTACAATGAAATTCAAATGAAAGTCAAACAATATAAAGTTTAAATATAAAATGGATAAATAGTAATACAAAATAAAGGCAATTTTAAAACCAGCATGTGAAAATATAACAAGAATATAGGCTACATCAGCTGTATGTGCAACAATCATCAATTAGTGTGCAATTATACGCAAACTGAAAATGTAAACAATCAAGTGCAGTTACATGAAGTAATCCCTGATTATAAACTCCTGTCAGCTCTTTAGGAGTCTGATGGCAGAGGGAAAGAATGAGTTATTTAGTCTATAACACTAATGACCGTGGTGGTCCCATTATACTGTATCTGCTAAACATCAGCATGTGAGGAGGTTTGCATGCTGACGTTAACTCAGTTTCTCTGTGCCTCAGTACAGTCTGACAGAGATGCTAGCATATGTCAGAATCAGAATCTGCTTTACTGGCCAGGTGTGTTGGACACACGAGGAATTTGACTCTGTGGATTTGATGTAACTGTGGATTTAATATTATATGCACCACTAACAATATAACCTGAATAGGGGACTTAAGACAACAGCTGCATTCTTACCTAATCATGATGCCCCATCTTATACAGTGAGGCCCTGAGTTAGTTTAAAGGTCTTTGTTGTTTCAGTGTACATTGTAATTACAAGGTGCATTTCTATACAACACACACACTTTACTTATGACTGATTTGTACATGATACAGGGGGAGTGGGAGAAATAGGAGAAGATGAAGTGCCCATAGAAATCTTTGCACCAAGGCACACTTTCAGCTACATAACAGAGACTCTGTCAGTGTCTTGTTTAAGGGCACTAAGGGAGAATGAGAGGTCCTCTAGTTGAAGGATGTTGCCCTCTTAATTACCTCCTCCTTACACTTAAAATCAAATTGCACAGTGCACATAGCTAAGCAATTTACAGAACTTACAAAGTAGACCACAAAACCAGAAACACCTTCCCCACTACAATTGATGTCCTTTGCCTCTTGATTTACCACAGGTCCACATCATCTGGCTGACTACCAGCAGGGAGGGTGTTTTCTTTTCCAGCAGGAACACAAGCTGCTCAGTGTGTAGTAACCATATCAAACCTATAGGCGACAGTCATAGACAGCCTGTTCATGTCATGTGTGTCTGTGTGTATACTGTATAATGTATTTTAAAATAAGATTTATATTGTGCTATTAGATGTTTGCAAGTCAACACCACTGTGTGTGGGCTGCATTTTCAGGTTTGCACTGTCACTGTATTTGCATGTGTGTAGACAGGTGTGGTTTAGAGTGTGTGTCACTGTTGTCAGGTATACAAAGGTGTATTCCCTGTGGCTAGAACTGTGCACTATTTAGGTATGTACAGGGTAATCCACTTAGGTTTGTCAATAAAAAGATCTGTGATACAAACACTGATAACAGTCTCTTCTTCCTGGCTGTTCTGCTTCCATCATCACACCAACAAATAAACATTCAGGTTCTCTTAGTCAGTCTTAACAAAGTGGGCCTACATTCCTCCAGACTCAAAACACTGCAATTATTATAAGTTTCTGGACACACCCAGCTCTGACTCTCCCTGTCAAAAATGTTTTCCCCTTTTTGTCTTTTCCATTCCCTCTGTGGCCATAGAAATAAGCCAGGCAGGAAGTGACAACATCATACCCATGCAAAAGAGGAAATTTGTTTTGCTAGGTAAACAAAACCAAAGCATGAAGGTGATTTGAAGAGGAACAAGGGCAATAGAGGTGAACTGACTGAGCAGAGCTTTCCCTGAAGAAGGCATGATCAGAGAAAGACAGACCTTAAGTAGAAACACAAACACATGCTCATAATTACACTATTCACTTATTCCATCTGTGTGCAATCACACAACCTCTCTCACTTACTCATCATTTCAGAAAACAGTCAGCACTTGTGGTAAAGCCATCTTTTGCGACCAGCATGTCTGAGGAAAAGCACCAAACAATCTATGAAGCAATCAGACCAGACCGATTATTAAGGCATACTGTTCCTCCACACTTACAAGAGTGCAATCTGCCTCTTAGTAATAATATTAAAGGCATTGCTGAAACAATGGGTTATTCAGTTTTGCCAGAAAAAACAGTTGGCAACTGTTTTGACAATAAATTTAATTTAATTTTTGTTTTTCATGCAAAAAGTGCTTCTACCAAACATTCCCCAGTTCAAGCTACAGTTATCTGCTTTTCTTTGTTTTTAGTAATAATAAACTGCTTTAGAAAATTGTAATTGTCCTTTCACTTGGCAAACCCATAAATAAAGGACATGACTCAGTAATAAAAAAAAAATCATTATTTTCATCCCTAAGTTACTGTAGACCTGTTTTCTGGAGCTAGAGGAATGTTACAGTTTCTGACCACTGACGTTGACTAACTTGCTCTTTAAAAGTTGCCAAAATATTTTGTAGTAACCTTTGCATTAGAGGTTTAGAGACAAGTGGCCTCGTGGTTGCCAATTTTGCTAAAGTTTGTTGGACTACATGATTGTATGCCAGTCGTCTTTGTCTTGACACGCATTTATGCATTTCACATTATTGCCTACGTCACTCAGTGGTCCATTCAAAAACGTATCCGCATGTTTCTCTCCCCTTTAGTATATCCTTAATTCTGATAGGCTAAGAAGAGTGCCAGTCACTCCGGCCTGTCAAGCAAACCCCTCCTTCCGTGTCCAAGACACTCCGGCGCTGAAAAGAAGAGCTGAAGACCTATAAGTATTGCACTGTATCTCTCTATTATCAGCATAGGATGGTGTAGCTTTCGCCACATAGCTGTAAGTATTTATTTTCCTTAAAAGTAATAGTTCCCATGAAACTGTATCTGTTTTGTGTGTTTCTCGCCTAGCTTCCGTTTGAATTAGAGTTCACGGCGCTCGTGTCTCTAGCGCTGAACAGTATCGCTTTCGATAGAATTATTAATCGATTTCCTCATTTGGTACTGATTTAATGTGTGCGAGTCTCTAGTACAGGTTTACTGTGATATCTGGGCTTTTATCGAGGCAGTGTGTTGTGAGTTTACAGCCACATGGATTGTATGTTTGCGTTGACAAGTTTGAATTGCTGTGCTGGCTCTGGCAACAGGAACTGAGTAGTGCTGTGAATCTGAACGGGGCACCAGTGGTTAGTCCCCAGTAATTAGTTAGTCCCCAGTAATTAGTGTAGTGTTTAGTCCCCAGTAATTAGTGTTTAGTCCCCAGTAATTAGTGTTTAGTCCATTTAAACCAATCCACCCTGGCTGCTGTGCTGTCAGCGAACTATCATCCTTGCATATATTCCGTGCGTTCAAATTACATATGGGCTGTTGAGATCATTGTGAGGACCTTGTCTTGCTTGTCAAGTCTGATTTGATGCATTAATTGAAAGGTGTTGTCTGCTATGTTTCAGTGTGGCGGTGTTTTGTACATAGGACGGTTTACTCCCTTAGTTTTACAAGTACACTACAGTGGACAGGTTTCCAGGAGGCTACCACACCTTTAAAACTGAAGTGATCCACAGAAATGCAAACTTAAAAAATAGTGGTTTAATCCAGTCAAATGTGGGTATTTACAAATATAATAGCTTCTATAATAGTACATTTAAATGTCTGGGTACTTGGGGACACTAGGAACAAATACTTTTCACTTTTTTCTGACATTTTATGTGCAGACAGTCAGCTGATTCATCATGAAGATAACCGGTAGATTAATCAATAATGAAAATGAGAGGTTGCACCCACCAGTAATGCATGAAGGCTTTTGTGGTGTTTGATTGGCTTAGTTTCTTTTAAATACTGTAACTGTCTTATTCATAGTTTGCTACATTGCCAACCAACTATTCAAGCACGTGTAAACACAACTGTAGTGTTGCTGCCCTAGGATTTTATTAACATTTTTAAGCTGAGGGTGAGGCTGGTTCATAATGCTGTAATGAAGTTGATCATATATCTGTATATTTTACATTTAAGAGAAAGATCATATAAGTGATTTTTATTTATTTATTTTTTTTTCCAAAAATGCAAGGAAGATTTTGATCCCAGCTTCTCCAACATAAGGATTTATTGCTTCTTTATTTAATATTATCTTAAACTGAATATCTTTGGTGTTTGGTCTGTTGGTCAGGGAAAATAACATTTACACAAGATGTAGCTTCAGGTTTCAGGCTTTTGGTATATTTCTGATATTTCATAGCTGAAACGAGAAAATAATTGGCAGATTGATCAGCAATGAAAAGAAAACTGAGTTACTAAACTAGGCTGAGTATGAAGAAGAACCTGTCCAGGAACCCAGCACTGTGGACATATTCCCATGTGCTGGTATGCATCTACCCTGTTTAAGTGCCCTTGAGCAAGATGTTGAAAGACTATCAGCTTTAGAGAGCACTGTTCAAGCTTGCATCTCTAGTGATCCAAAGCTAAAAGAGGATTGCACCACAGGAATTGGCTTTAAGTCTCTCAATCAGCTGAGCACTACCCAGCGAAAATGTTATTTCCTGCTCCAGCACTTCTGGTCGTACATATTCAAAATACCGATGTGACTCACTCAGTTATCTCTATGTCACTCTCTCCTTTACACAACACCTACTTAAAAGCTGGTAAATACAGAGTCGCTCAGAGAATAACCTGCCTGTGATCTTCCTGTGCCGACCGGCCAAGCTGGCTGGTCAGCACTGAGAATCATGTGATCATGTTTCTGCTGGTAACAGCACCGGTTCTATAAACAGACCTGTGTTTTAGGCCCTCAAATTGTAAACAAACTGAGTATATTTTTGCCATTGGTTTTTTGTGTATCCATAGCAACGTGTGATTGAGCAGTACCACAGCATGATGTCACTTGTCTCTGCAGGAAAGCGACAGAAAGACATCTTCAGTGATGCAGCTTTCCAGAAATACATCAGTCAAGAATCTATGGGCCTGCTGGTTCTCAAGCCTGTTCTCTTTGTTTGAGTGCACATGACATATTGAGGCTGCTCTTTGATCACTTGCATTCACTTTTCTCTGTCCACATACAGAAAACAGAGGCATAGTTCAGAGGAAAAATGTTGTTAAAAATATCTTCAAACAAGTGCAGCGCTGTCAACTGCTTGACTTCAGAGATGAAATCAGAAGTCAGATAAGCTAAGTGCTACTGCCGCCTACCAGTCCATAACATATGCTGCCACACATCCGTTGCATTGTTTTGTTATAAAACGTGGGTGAAGTATTCAGATAATATTGCCAGATGTTAGCATCTTATACCAGCTCTCAGTTTGATCATCAGTGAATCATGCACAGCATTAACTCCATAAATCACAAAAGAATTTTTACCTGAATACCCTGGTGCTTTATTGGAGGTTGAGCCACAGATGGGTCATCTGCGAGAACCTTCTTGAAGTAATGAGGAGGATATATGGACATTTGGGTTAGTGGTAGTCCTGCTGCTGCAAGAAAGGCAGAAAGCGGACAGATTGGTTGTAAAGTCAGTGTCTGCGTGTTTGACATGCCAGGACTGGAAACTCCAGCTAGACAGTTCCTCGCTTGAAATGCTGCCATGGAAACTGGTGCATAACATACAAGGCTTTGCTTAATGTGAAAGCCAAAGGACTTTCTGTAAATAGGAATGAATAGCTCAGTTCAAAAAAAGATTAAAATTTTATTTGAATTATGTCTTTAAAAGCAACATTCCTGAACGGTTCAGTGTTCAAGAGTTTATTGCAGCCTAATTTTGAGAGAACACAAGTGGTTAGTTTGGTGGGCTTTTCAGGAGCCTTGGCACTTTGTTTGGAATGGAACAAGTAGAGTAAAATGTCTGTTTCTTAGACCAGGGCATGTTTACATCTCTGCCTTTGTCTCTTGATGTGATGCACGTGCATGCTCACCTTAAAAACTGGTTTAATAATGTCAGATCTTGAAGAGTAAATGTAGAGGAGGCTTCTGTTCTCATTGTAGGGGGCTTCTAGGTCCCTGTTTCTTCAGTCTAGTGAAGGAGAAAGTACAGTGCAAAGGTTGTATGTTAGACCACAGGCACTTATGTTATGCAAAATGTTGCCATCTAGTCTCCCATGCATGTCCCACTGTCCTCCCACTGTCATATATCCAGACAAAACCAATTCCCCCCCCCCATCAACTGATCTCACAAATACTGATACATAAAGACAAAAAGAGGAGAACACACACAAAGTAGTCACCTTTCCATGACCTTTAAATCTTCATTCCCTAATTTTGGGCCTTGTGACTGTGGCATCGGCCCTTGCTGCAAGCAAGACCCTTTTCCATCTTTTAACAGATTATTTGCACGGTGTAGTGCCATTAATGATTGACTCTTATTACGCAAGACTGAATGCAAAACTCCAGCCCTTCTAGTCTTACAGTGCAAGAGGCTCAGTGGTGTACAGTACTACAGTGTCAGTCATTCGAGATAAGTGGGGCAGGCAGTGGGACTCACATCTCTCAGCTTCATTTACAGGTTTTGCAGTACTTCTATGGCAGATGGTATTATAGATGAATACATATAGCTTTCATACAAGTTTCTAGTGAAACTAGGAAGTGTTACAAGGTAGTGATACTTGAAACAAAATCTGTGCACAGACAGTTTTTGATGTTTTGCTCTGAGGGAGTGTGCTATTGCAGATGTTGCTGCTGTGTTGCACAAAAAGGAAAAAGGCCGAGCTAGAAATGTGCCCTGATTTATGGTTGGATGCTCCTGAAGTCCTGAACACATACAGATGTATTTGAGTAGATATAAATATGCAGAGGGTATGTGGAATCCATAAAGTTTCAGATGCAGCTGAAGACGCCAGATGTGCCAAAGCCTGAAAATGTGAACACATTTTATCCATTTGTCCTTTTAGTCTGTGCTGTGGGCTGTCCATGCCTTTCAGTTTGCTTTTAATGGAGTGTTGACTGTAGCTGGCTGTGTGTTATGGTTTGTCTGGGGTATCGGAAGCACAGAACACATTCTTTCCTGTTGATGACTCACATCATGGCCGTGGCACTGAGTGTGAGAGAGACTTGGGGAATTACAGAATACACACATACACTCACTGAAACCACCAGATTATGTGCAGAGGATGTAGTTACTGTACTTAACATCCAGAAGTTTACACAATTTAGCATGCATCTGTACACACGCAGAGACCATAGGTGAGCCTTCAGTCAACCAGAGAGGGATGTGCCAAGCTCACAAGTACAGTAGCCATCTGAGTTTAATCTGTTGTGAGGCCATTTCAGCAGGGAGTGGCTATAAAACACAAGCAGAGGTATGCATGCATGCTTGTATGCAGCCAGGTTGGAGCTTGTCATTTGAGGCAAGGAGAAGAATGAATGTTACATCGCACTGTGTAGAGAAATGAGACAAAACTTTTGTAATGAAAAACCTCTTACTTTTACCGTACTTGTTGAAGTTGCAGAGTTTAGGACAATTCCCCCTGCTGATGGGGGTGGTTGGTTGAGGATCAGTGATAGTATTTTTCACATGCTTGTTTACCAGTTGACCATTGATTATAAGGTATGGTTTAGGACAGCCACGGTCATAAATACTGAGTCTGACTCAGTGATTGAACTCATGTGTGTTCACAGCTCAGATTTATCACAAGATTCCACACATAGCCAGACAGGGGTTCCGGGCACATCTGAACTTACTGTACATGGTGCAAGGTGAACCTTGAACTGTGCACATATGAGAGCCCATGATAAAGCCTTTTTAGCCTCTCATGTAATTTGGGACATTTGTGTCTAACGTCCTTAAAACAAAACTGCTGTAGACTTTGGAATTAGTCAGTCAGACTGGCAGTGAGTAAGTGACTCTTCTCTTTTTATCTGTCTGCTCTTGTGTGCTGCTACCGTTTTCTTTAAAATAGGCATAGCCTTTGTGCTGCTCTGTCATCAGCTCCTTTTAACCCTTCTCCACAGTGCTGACTGTTGTGGCGAGGCCTTCAAAGGTCAGAGTGATGCTCCTGGCCCCCCTGCTGAGATTGCTGCTGCTGCCGTTTCCATAGAAACCAGGTACGATAGAAACGGTGGGCAGAAAGAAGTCAAGTCGCAAGAAAATGACGTCGCCGTCGCCCACTCACAGTGACAGTAGCTGCTCCTCTAAACATGACACCAACCAGGTATGTGTGTAGTTCTGTATATCTATCAGTGTGCGTGTGTGCTATGGGAATAAAAAGTGCCTGAAGTTAGCATTTGAGCACTTTTCAGATAATACAACCCCAAATCTGAAGAAGTTGGGATGGCATGTAAAATCTAAATTAAACCTGAAAGTAGTGATTTGTAAATCATCTGTGTGCTGTATCACATTGAAAACAGTACAGCAGCACATTAGTTGATGTGATACCTCATCAGTTTTATTCTTTGTTCAAAATAAACACTCACTTTAATTCTGATGACTGCAACATATTCCAAAAGAAGTCAGGACAGTTGCATTTTAGGGTTAGTAATTAGGTAAAACAATGAAATGATGATTCAGTTTGAGCCAAGTGATGTCGACAGGTGATTGCAATCATGATTTGGTACAAAAGTGGCATCCAGGCTGAGCCCTTTAGGAGCAAAGATGGGTATGTCTGTAATCTAATAAATGTAATCAGTTATTAGGGGTTGTTCTCTATGAACTTTACAGGCACACAAACCAATTATGCTTTAAACAAATTAACGCTGTTGTGATGACAACTGGCAGTGCAGTCACAACAATATTGCACATAAATGGTGTATCTGATGATATGTGTTGTGTTTACAGGTTAAGAATGTGTTATTTTTCCTTTATTTCAAGGGGAAAAAATTCACTTGTCCATTTAACTTGTACAGCATGTATTGTCCCTGCAGGATGGCTGGGAGATTGTGGAGGGGCTCAGGGGGTTTCCTGCCAGTATGCAGGAGCCTGACAAGCAGGAGGGCATCCTGCTCAAGAGGAGGAAGTGGCCCATGAAGGGATGGCATAAGGTGAGCACTTCACCTGCCCTCTTGAAGACCCCACTGAAACGTTACACAACACCACTATCACCCTGCTGCTGTCTCTTACTGAACATGAGACCTGTTTTCACTCTGAACAGCATTGCTTTTCTGAGAGTTGGTGTCAGATAGCGAGCCGCAGGGGTTTGCACATATTCTGAGCTTGAAAATAGCTTTATTTCTGTTCTTTTAAATCTCTGGAGCAAACCTTTTCTTTTTTATGTTCTGCATTATGTTCATCAGGTGTAGCTGTGCTTCTAAAAGTAATGATTATGTTCTAAACATCCTTGTATCCATTTTTGTGAGGAAAATAATATTGCAAATATGCATTTTAAGATCAGTAGTGTACATGGGTTTTAGTTGTAGTTTCTTTGTTGGCATCAAGATTAAAACAAGCAACTAGAGTTCTGGCCTGTTTCTTCATAATATTTTTTTTCCACATTTCTTCCTCTTCACAATTATAGTCTTCTGGATTTCCTTGTTTCCGTTCTTTTTATTTTCCAGCTGACTATACTGTAACTCTGACTCATCTTCCTCCCCCTCTTCTCATCTCACTGTACCTAGAAATTCTGCCTCACAGCATGATGGAATTTTACCACTTTAATCATTTAATATTTTAACCCATAAGGGATCTTCACACACTGTAAAGGTACATTGTCTGTATATTCTGTAGACTGTAAAGCCAAGAGAAAAGGTGATGTTACTGGTGCAAAACTGCACAAAATCCACATACCTTTTTTATTAGTGTTTCTAATTGTTGTATAACCAGTGTCATAAACCTATAAGAACTGAAAGTAGAGTAACTCTTGTGAATCAGTATTGACTGAGTTTGATTTCTTCCCATCTAGAGATACTTTCTGTTGGAAAAAGGCATCTTGAAATATGCAAAGCGTGGAACTGATGTAGGTATCACCTCAAGTGCCAAACCTGCCTGTAATTCTTACATACAGACATATGCTAAAAAGTGTTTTTGCACAGCTTGAGAAAGGAAAGCTTCATGGCTGCATAGACGTTGGCCTTTCTGTCATGTCGGTAAAGAAGAAAACCATGTGCATTGACCTGGACACAGAGGATAACATCTATCACCTAAAGGTAAGTCTAACCTGAGTGATTCTGTGTGAATGATATACACAAATACATCAACTTCTACATGCTTGTCTTTCATTTCCTGTCCATGTTTCATACAAAGCACCTTTTTCCGGGTTGCAGCGAGAGCAGACGTCTTTACTGCTCCTCTTGTCTGTTCTACGACTTTTCACATCTTCTACATTTTCAAGTCTTTGAACAAATTCTATAACTATTAAAATGCCTCCAAGAGGGAAAAGAGCTAATAAACCAGAAGCGAGCGAGGATATTGAGGCTGAAGAAGATTCTATTTCAGCGGCGCAAGTAGCTGAGATGTTGAATCAGCAGAAGCTGATGTACACCGCACTTATGTGCCAACAGCAAGAAAGTTTCCAAGGCTTTGTGAAACTAATTATGGAGACAAATAACAAGAGACTCGACGACATGACCAAAGAAATACAGGAGATAAAAACGAGTTTGCAGTTTACCCAGCGAGATGTGGACGCGATTAAAGCGGCCGTGGGGGTGCAGGAAAAAATTGCCGAAGACACTAGGCGGGACGTCTACAAAACCCGTGAGAGTCTAATAACTAT